CTGGACAGTTTCAGCAGCGGCTGAATCTGGACGCCAGTTCCGACTTACATATAGATTCAACTTAAGAACAAACCTACAGTCCCTATCTTGTACGTAACCCGGGGACTGCCTGTATTTCAGGAGTTATTATTTTGAAATAATTTCCTAGTGTACACATGACCTAAGATGCCACAGAATTTCTCATTGTTTTTGCAGATACAGATTAACATGGCTACCCCTCAGACTTAATCGATGATAACACATGAAAGCCAAAGTTCACTAATGTGCCCCACTTCAAATGCTGGCAGAGAGAGGTTAGAAACACAAAATTGGGAAAAGGAATTTTGCTATTTTCAAGATTTTAAGACAATTAATAGAGGGAAAAGTAAAGTTTAACAGTTCCTGATAGTTGACTTTCTCCATCTCAGTAAAGATTGGTAAAACCACAAATGAGCACAAGCTAGCAGAGGAAAAGATTGACCTGTTGAGTGTAGAATTTCCAAAAGGAAGCTACCAGTAACCTTTTTTCCCCTCAGCATGGCCATATGTATTCAAAATTGTTCTTGAAATAACTACTTCAGATTGCTTGTGGCACCTTAATAGAGATTCCAGTTGTATCCACACTTATGCTTTTGAAAAGCAATTTAACCCAACACGGTTTAAATAGCTAAATGTTAAATTAACCCTTTTTCACAATCATGTTAAAGCTTCTCTACTGTTATGCCAAGGACCAATTCAAATGCACTTTGCAATACACGGAAACACAGTATACGTTAAGGTAATTATCCTTTGATATCATTTTTCACATCAACCTGATGAGTGCCACAGAAAAGATCCCAATAAAAAAAACAGGGAAGGAAGGGTCGCAGCAGCTGTTAAATAACTACATATTTGAGCACCCCAATATTTTAAACAAAGCCAGTTACCAAGAGTATGTGCCTACATTTAAATGTCTAGTAATCCAAATACATATTATCAGTTTATTTGAAGTGAATAACCCCCACCTATAAGGTTCAAATACTAGAGCAAAAACCAATTCTTTTTAAGAACCAGATTTCTATTTCGTCCAAGTTATCATCACTGCTACAAGCCACAGGTATGCAAGAGATACAAGTATTAATGTACTTAAGTCAATGAACATTTTGACTAACCACTGCTGTGGAAGGCCTCAATAATGTGTATTTATTCTAAGTCGGATAAGTGGGGGGGGGGGGGGGGGGGGTTATTTTTCTTTATACAGTCAAGAAGCTCTAGCGTACAATGTTTGTTCCCAGTGTTTGCTCTGTTGTGTATACAGAAGCACTGCATGTTTGACAGTGTGGTCTCATTTTAACTGTCTAAATATTACAATCAGTCAACACCCCCAGAGATGCAGCTTTCTACTCAAAAGAAAATCAGAATGAGTGGACTATTATATATTTCCTCTCTTCAAAGAGTACCTTGTTCTGATTTTTAGAAATTCTCATCCACTATATAGTCACTTTTCCCAGTGAACATACAACAAAAAAAAATCCTAGTATGTTCGTGACCAATTTAAAAAAGCATCCACTCCTCTGAAAAGATATTGCAGGTACCGAATAAACTCGTGTCATTCCAACTGGTTATGGACTCTGTGCTGCACATTGAAACTTGCCATTCAAACTTGTTCACTCTTTATCCCAGCTCAATATAGCCAGGAGTGCAGCACAGTTTTATCCAACTAAAATAAATCCAAATCAATTACCTACTCATACATGAAGCGAAAATGGTTTATACACAAACATCCAGCACGGGATTTTCAAAAGCTTTCAGCACTGATTTACCCAACTTCCATGGATGATTTCCACCAACACTGAATTCTTTTGAAAATCCCACCCCACTATATAAAATACATATTTAATAACAAATATTTTGTAGATGTGTCTGTTTTAGAAGTTATTTTAAAATAGTTTAATATGTAAATGTAAATTTGTATTTAAAGAAAAAAATTAACTTTTTTAATTAAGGCAGATTGAATGAAGTTTAGGTAGGTTAAAAACAGTTGATATGTGTAAAAATAATTTAGAAAAGACTCTTCACTGGTCAAATCATGCTATATACTTAAGATAATGTAGCATCTGTTTATTTACAAAAGTACTTAGATTCTAAAGTAGTTGCCTTTAAACAAAACAGAATATCCTAATATCTCAGACGTGTTTCTCAGTGTATATTCTGTTACTTTGTCTCCCCAAAAATGAGTGTTATTTTCAATTCAAAGGTTATGTTTACAGTTAGCGAAGATAATTTTTTATTATGAGCACATGGCCTGAAGTGTTGTCTTCCCAGATTGCCACAGCACTTCAGCAGAAATCTATTTCACTCTTTGGCAAGAGTGAGTGAGTGAGTGAGTGAGTGAGGGAGGGAGGGAGGAACACACACACACACACACACACACACACACACACACAAGCTTGCTTTTCCTATATTTGTGTACTGTCCTTCTGGTTGGACATTCCATTCTAACTGGATGGCCATTTTCTTTAATGGTGTTGTGGATGAATCAGGAGAACAGAGCTCCATTCCATTTCTGCCAGAGGCATGTGATCTTTGATTGGGCATTTTTTCTGATTTTTAGGGAAGCTAAATACATGCTCTCACACAGGCTTGGTGGCACCTAATTAACTGTTTGTAAAGTGCATTGCAATTCTAGATGCAAGGCTCTGTATAACTAATATTGCTATTTATTTGGTCTATTTAACAAGCAACTGAAAAATATGTATATAACACTTACTGCATCATATAGTGAGCCACTGATATCTGCCCCATAAATTGGTGAGACGAACGTCAGATTCTTCCAGTATTTGCGTTCCAGGTCTTCAAAATCTTGGTGGCGCGGAGTACAGTACCTGATCAGCAAAAGGAAGAGTTAAGAGATTAGGAGAAAGTCACAGACCTTAGAAGCATATGTGCAAGGGACTATGTAAAGCAGAGGTGAGGAACTTTTTTGGGTTGAGGGCAGCTAGGGTCGCCAGGTGTCCGGTATTCACCCGGATAGTCCGGTATTTTCGCCTCCTGTCCGGTAAAAAAATTCAGGGCATACTGGCCACCTGAGATGTCCGGTATTCTCTGAATTTTTCCCCAGCCAGCAGGCAAAAATGCCGGGCACCTGGCAACCCTACAAACACTCAGCGCTCAGCCTCCCCCCACCCCGAACCCCTCCTGCCCCCAAAACCCCCCAGCCCCCATGCTTACCTGGTTCCCCAAGGCTGCTGACGCAAAATGCTCAACTGCTCCCCTGTTCCTATCCCTGCACTCACTCTTAAAGGGGACATGCTGGGTTTTTGTTTTTCTTCGCTTAATAAGTCCTTGTAGTTCTTTTTTTTTGGCTCGACAACTTTGGTCCCCCCCGCTTCCTCCCCCCCCCCCCCAAAAAAATTTTTTCCTGGTGTTTTTTTTTGGGGGGGGGAGGGGGTGTCGGTATTTTTGTTTCAACCATCTTGCAACCCTAAGGGCCACTGACCCACAGAAAATCAGTTGGGGGCAGCACACAAGTGAGAGGTAACAAAACCAAACCAAAACAAAACCTTACTAACGTGGTCCCTGACCAAGAAGGAGAAAGACACTCCCCACATTCCTCTCCTACACCAGAGCCTAGGGGAGCCCACGCTAGTAAATTGTGTGCGCTCCGGCCCCATGGTGGGGCAGCTGGGGGGAGGGGCTGGAGCACCAGCATGGGCTCCCCAATGGTGGGGGGAAACCGGGAGCCTTGGGAGCCGGATCCAGGCCCTGGGCCTGAAGTTCCCCATCCCTGATATAAAGGAATAAACTGCTCAGCTTTGTGAAAGACATAAGTGGAATGGCCAGCCCAAGTGGTTAGCATAACAATAGCTGAAAGTTATGGTTCGGGCAGCAGACTCTCCACATCAGTTGGTAGTGGAGAGGCTAGGTACAGTAATGATATAATCAGTCCCAGAGCAAACTGCTATGCCATCTTGTAACCAGAGCACAGAAAAGAGTTTCTAGAACCTTTAAAACAGTACATCAGACTAGACTTGCCTAACAACCAGAGCAGATACTGGGTTCCAAAGACACTGAGATGTTAAGTAAGCATAGTTACAGTTTTCCATACTTGAGCTACTTGGCAGCCTGAGAGGAACCTACATCAGAAAACCTAGGTAGTTGCACTGTTCTGCTGACTTCAACTGACTTACTGCAACTGGTTTATAGGTTTTCCCTTAATCGCCTTTGGTCTAATTCCTTTTTTATAATATTAGTATGCATTTTTATAGCAGCTTCTATCTGCTGATCTCAAAGCACATTGTAAACATCGGTGAATTAACCCTTACAATACTCCTGGAAGATACAGAACACCAGTCCCCAAACTGTGGCATGTAGCCCCCAACCCCCCCCCCCCCCCTTTATCTTCCTGCAGCGGGCATGGAGGAATATTTGGGGAAGGCTCAGTGGGGCAAAGGCCAGCCCACACAGGGAACACTGATCTCCCCCATGAAATCTGTCTGGTATAGGGAAAAAGTACACAAGACCAAATTTCACAGTCCATGATGCATATTTCATAAGTGTGAAATTGGCAGGGTCCCATCCATAACCATTTTCTCCATGAGAAAAATAGCCACTGAAGACAGCCATCAAACAGGGCCTTCCTACACCAGTTCTGCACCACATACAAGGGTGTCCCTGCACAACCTTCTCATCTCCTGTGATCATGAATTTCAAACATTACAAGTACAAGCTGTTCCCGTCAGAATGTTTCCAATTTAAAGTTTGGTTGCAATTCCTTTCCAGTTGGTTAAAAAAAAAAAAAAAAAAAAAGGCTTTCCATTTTCCCCTCCCAATTCATAATACAAAAGCAAATTGTCACTCATAAAAATTACATACTTCTCACTGTTGGCGAGACGCCGGTATTCTCCCACCGTCATGGGTTTCTTCTGTATATTATACTGGGTGAACAACCCCGACTGTCCAGTCACCACCTGCTGGATAGGTGCTGGGATGACCATGTCATCAATGTCGTCATAAGTTTTTCGGGGCTTCCATTCCTTGGGAGGAATCACCTGGAAGAGGAGGAAGAAAAACCAAAAGTTACATCTATGCACTTAATACAGACACTTAATTTCTGTAAGACAAATACTAGCGTAGGCATATTTTACACTGCTGCAGTCCTCTAGCTACTATAGACCAACCACATGAATTTTAACTATCATGTCATCTAACCCTGCTCAGATCAGGGCAAAGTGATGTTGGTTAAAATGCTGGCAGCTTGTCTATTACATCAGTTGGTCTGATGGAGCTGCACCAGAGGAAAATCAATAATGAGAAATACTTTCGAGTCAGTTTATACAAAATCCACTGGACACCAAAATAGTTTACTTCCTTTCCTGGAAGGTGTTTTAGAAATCCACTATCAGCCCTATTGCAAGACAGTACCCACGGTGCCCCAGTACAGAGCCTTTTAGAGATTTTTAAACAGTATCCTCTCCTTGCAGGAAACTGTTTGGTATAGCTCTGTTAACAGTTTGCTTCTTTTCTGGTTAGAAGTTTGTAAGTTCCATACAAGAACTCTAATTTCAATTTCTATAATGAAAATCGGAGCTAAAAACCTGATAAAATTACAAGTAATTTTCCCAGTTAGAAATACGTTGTGGAATACTTCAGCATAGGAACCAATCCAACTCAAGACTCCCATTGTCTTCACTAGGAGTTAGAACAGCACCATACGACAGAACTTCTTTTCACTGGATATCTGCAGTACCATTCCATTTTTAATTTGCTTTATGGAATGATTTCAGGACAACAGTGCAAATCCAACTAAGATTGTCATGATAAAGTCTAGAGATTATTAAAAACTTCTTAGCTTTCCAGAAGCCCTCAAACTCTCCATACATGAAACTAAGTATGTTAAATTTAGATTAATCAACTAATCGAATAGTCGATGCAATATGCATTGACTATTCAATTAGTTGATAAGGGCACCTCTGCCTTTGAAACATAGCAAGAGGCCTGCCGGCTCTCGCTACATTTCAAAGGCAGAAGTGCCCCGGGGATCACGGGGCCAGCGGGGGACTCAAGCAGTCCTCTGCTGGCCCTGCACACTCTGCTTTTGAAATGTACAAAAGCCACCTTAAGAGATTAACAGAACTACCCTTACCCACATGCAGAATAGGCAGCTGCGTAGGGCAACCAAAAATTGGGGCACCACTGGGTCTTAATGTCAATCCACCCGCCTCTTCATATTCCTGTTCTGCAGCTCTGCTTCCTCAGGGGAGGATCTAGTTAACTTAAAAGTAAAAAAGCCTGCCAGACCTATTAGCAGACACTGAACCTGTGCAACAGCCATTCCAGTGGTAATGAATATATAATCATCTCTCTAAAAAACCCTCCCTCACTCAGGCTGCTGTTAGGCATAGGAGCACTGGTTTAATAGTACTGTGTAGGGCCCCATAAATCCTAAGGACGGCCCTGGAGATGTAGATGGTTTGTTGTGTTGTACAGCACAGGTCTTTAAAAAAAAAAAAAAAAAAAAAAAGTGTGTAAACACTGGTCAGGGAGGGTAAGGGACAAGACAAGACTACAAACATGATGGACAGAGTGCTCACTTTAGAGATGAGCCACTGAAGATACAAGCATTGGCTCTCCTTTTAAGAGTAGCTATCCTATTGTTTCTTGGCTCTTTCAGGCAAATGATGAAGGTGTGAAAAGAAGCTGCAGAGCAGTGAAGGTGAAAGTGTCAGTTTAAAATAGAATAAATCTAGGCCTAAATGCTGAGGAGGTTCCCTTGTGTATGGAAGAGTCATGTTGAAGGACAATGAGAAATCGTACTTCAACCTTGAAGAATAGAACAAATGAATTTAAACAAAGAAAGAGATTAATTATAATTGATAGATATGGAAGGATAGGTTTGATTTTCATGGCAATGGATTCTCCAGAGTAAGCAGAAAGCCCTGCCTGGATAAAGTGGTCAAGGCAAAAAAAAAAAAAAAAAAAAAACCCACCTTCCTGCAAGCTGAGGGCATAGTATGAAAAGCTACTTCCTTCTGAGATTTGAAATTCACCAACAGCTTTTAGACTAGTTACAATAATCCACTTCAAAAGACTCAGAGAGAATTAAATCATTAGTACGCTTGAGTGGGCAAGGAACCACTTCATGAAGAGCTTTTTATCAATACCAGGCTCCATTTTGCAATTGTAATAAAAGCAGTAATTGACCTATGTTTTAACAAGGAGCTATTCTCTCATGCCTAACAGTTTTCCTTTTCTACATGTGCGTTCTAGTTTGTTCCATTAAATGCCAAGTGTGTATCTACCTTGTTAGGGCAAATTAGTCTATCTGTGATGTAACAAAATATGGTCACAAAAGGATTCTTCCTACTTAACTTGCCCTGACTTTCCTCTCACATTTATGTTTATAGTATTTAAACTTGGAAATCAGATATGAACAGCTCTCAAAATGGCCCAGTTTCATTTTGTTTTCCACTCTTACAACAGGATGTTAAACAAAAATTGGAATGGATTTTTTTTTTAAAACTACAAATGACTATTTTATAATCAAATAAGTGTCTTTCACAAAATTTACCCCAGTTTTTCTCCTCCTAAATGAAAAACAAGGGACATCTACTTCTCTGACTAATCAACAGCCATGTTTATTTAATAAATTTACTGCGAGAATTAACACTAAATGTTATACAAGTTTTTAAAATTTAAGCTTTTAAAAAGAATTTTAAAAGCATGACAGAGTAAGTAAACCTTTTCTCACTGAATTTCCAGTGTTGTAGCTCATGCATGCCTTCCAGCTCGACATCAGCAAACAGGGAAGAAAAAGAGCAATATCTGTGAACTACGCAGAACTAGGAACACTTTTTAAAAGGGCAGTAATATGTTCTAGGGGAAGTGCAGCAATAATTTACACCAAAATAGCACTTTCCAAATATCAAAGCACTTCACAATGAACCCACTAACCCGCCTCCCCACCTCCCCCCACCCCGATCAAGGAGGTTTTGTGACAATTTTTACAGATGGGCAAACCGGCTCAAAGAAATTACAGATATGATTTTCAAAGCTGCCAAACAAAATGAGGTGCAGAATTCTCTTTCAGGGTTGGGCCTTAACTCCTTTTGGCATAGCTCACTTCAGGCAGATCACGTCCACAACAAAACCAGATACAAAACTCAAAGACTCTCAGCATACATTCTAACTATTGGTCATGCTGCTTCAGTACTAAGGGGTACATGCTGTTAGATAGGAATCTTTGAGACATTACATTAACACAAGTCAGTGTCTAGTTCTCCAGACAGAAATGAAATGTCACCTGTCACGTTTGAAGAATAGGGAATAATGCCAATGGCTGGGTCATTATGCCGCCTCATCAACAAAAATGTCCTAATTTCCAAACATAAAAACTATAGCCAGGCATACATTGGCTGCAATTTTTGCCTGGATTAACCACGCACCTTACATGTAAACAATTTTGGTAACATTCAAAGTAAGAGCAACACTAAATAAAAGCAAACTATTAAATAAAAGCACACACTATCCAATGAGTTCCTGGACTGCATTGAAGACAACTTTCTATTTCAGAAGGTTGAAAAAGCTACTAGGGGAGAACGCTGTTCTAGATTTGATTTTAACAAATAGGGAGGAATTGGTTGAGAATTTGAAGTGGAAGGCAGCTTGGGTGAAAGTGATCATGAAATCATAGAGTTCATGATTCTAAGGTATGATAGAAGGAAGAATGGAAATTAGACAATGGATTTCAGGAAGGCAAATTTTGGTAAGCTCAGAAAGCTGGTAGGTAAGGTCCCATGTGAAGCAAGACCGATGGGAAAAACAACTGAAGAGAGTTGACAGTTTTTCAAAAGGACATTATTAAGGGCCCAAAAGCACGCTATTCCGCTGCGTAGGAAAGAAAGAAAATATGGCAAAAGGCCACCATGGATCAACCAGGAGATCTTGCATGATCTAAAAATAAAAAAGGAGTCATATAAAAAGTGGAAACTAGGACAAATGACAAAGGATGAATATAGGCAAACAATACAGGAATGCAGGGGCAAGATTAGAAAGGCAAACTAGCTACAGGCATAAAGGGAAACAAGAAGACATTCTATAAATATATTAGAAGCAAGAGGAAGACCAAGGACAGGGTCTTTAGAAGATAAAATAAAAAAATAATAAGTTAAAAATCACCTAGAGAAGTTAGATGCCTGATGATATGCGTCCTAGAATAATCAAGGAGCTAATAGAAGAAGTATCTGAGCCTTTAACTATCATCTTTGGAAAATCATGGAAGACAGGAGAGATTCCAGAAGATTGGAAAAGGGCAAATTTAGTGCCCATCTATAAAAAGGGAAATAAAAACAACCCAGGAAACTACAGACCAGTCAGTTTAACTTCTGTGCCAGGAAAGATAATGGATCAAGTAATTAAGGAAATCTGCAAATACTTGAAAGATAATAAGGTGATAAGGAACAGCCAGCATGGATTTGTAAAGAACAAATCCTAGAATCACAGAACTGGAAAAGACCTCAGAAGTCCAGCCCCCTGCTCTAGGCAGGACCAATTCCAACTAAATCAACCCGGCCAGGGCTTTGTCAAGCCAAGACTTAAACACCTCTAGGGATGGAGACTCCACTACTTCCCTAGGGAACCCATTCCAGTGCTTCACTACCCTCCTAGTGAAATAGTTTTTCCTAATATCCAACCTGGACCTCTCCCATCACAACTTGAGACCATTGCTCCTTGTTCTGCCATCTGTCACTACTGAGAACAGCCTCTCTCCATCCTCTTTGGAACCTCCCTTCAGGAAGTTGAAGACTGCTATCAAATCCCCCCTCACTCTTCGCTTCTGCAGACTAAACAGACCCAACTCCCTCAGCCTCTCTTCATAAGTCATATGCTCCAGCCCCCTAATCATTTTGGTTGCCCTCTGCTGGACCCTCTCCAATGCGTCCACATCCTTTTTGTAGTGGGGGGCCCAGAACTGGACACAATACTCCAGATGCGGCTTCACCAAAGCCGAAATCATGTCAAACCAATCTGATAGCTTTCTTTGATCGGATAACGAGTCTTGTGGATAAGGGAGAAGCGGTGGATGTGGTATACTTAGACTTCAGTAAGGCGTTTGATACGGTCTCGCATGATATTCTTATCAATAAACTAGGCAAATACAACTTAGATGGGGCTACTATAAGGTGGGTGCATAACTACCTGGATAACCATACTCAGAGAGTAGTTATTAATGGTTCTCAATCCTGCTGGAAAGATATAATAAGTGAGGTTCCACAGAGTTCTGTTTTGGGACTGTCTCTGTTCAATATCTTCATCAACGATTTAGATATTGGCATAGAAAGTACGCTTATTAAGTTTGCAGATACCACACCAAGCTGGGAGGGGTTGTGACTACTCTGAAGGATAGGGTCATAATTCAAAATGATCTGGACAAATTGGAGAAATGGTCTGAGGTAAACAGGATGAAGTTTAATAAGGACAAATGCAAAGTGCTCCACTTAGGAAGGAACAATCAGTTTCACACATACAGAATGGGAAGCGACCTCTCGAGGTGTCCCTTCCAGTCCTAGTATTCTATGATTCCCGATACTTTCCAACTAAGTTATTGTATACAATACAACTGTTCACAAGTCCAATGTAGTAAGTAATTAGTTGAGTGACTACTCACGTCTCCCCACTCGCTGTCTCTGTATCAGAGGCAGCAATGGGAGGGGGGAAAGCAGAAGCCGGTGCTGGAGGGAACCAGCTTAAAAGCCAGTTCCCCCAGCATCATCTCTGAGGTGTGGGGCAAAGCTACATCAGTCCAGGAGTCAGCGCAAGCCGAGACTCTTCAGTCCCAGCTTGCGCTGCCCCTGGGAGCTAACCCTACTGCAGCTCTGCACTTTAAATGTAGTAAATGCCCAGCAGCTCTTACTACATTTAAAATGCAGAGCTACAGCGGCGATAGCTCCTTTATCGACTAATCAAGCAGTCGATGGAAATTCCATCAACTACTTGATTAGCTGATTAACCATTACTTAACATCCCTAGCATAATACTGAGCTTTCCACCTAGCAATTTTTTTTAAACTTCTCTAAAATGAATCAGGTATGTCAAGATCCAACTCACCTTGGCAAGCCCTGCCCTATGTGCTCCCTGCGATTCAATGTAGGCAACATATTTCCCAAAGTCCCGAAACTCCTCTAGGGTGGGACGGAAGGTCATGATCTTACAGCCAGGGTTCTGTGGACTTGGGTTTTCAGACCCCATGGTTCCAGTGAGTTTTCAGCACCTGAAAAATGAAAAGGCAAAGGGGTGGGAAAGTGTCAGAGAGAGAGAAAGTGAATTAAAAAGGGGGGGGGGGGGGGACTCCTTCCTTTCCTCACAGTCTCTTTCACAAATCTCAAGATAAAATATATGCAAATTTTTCCATTTTCCCCACAGATCAAACATTTCAGAGCCCTGCTGGTAACAAAATAGGGACTTTTTTTTTTTAAACCAGAAATAATTTTAGCACTCTTTTTATACACCGTGCCCATGTACACTAATTGCCACAACTGTAAACAAAATTTCTATTGCAAACAAGGTCTGAATGAGCTCTCCCCTGACATCTAGTGATAAAAATGCAGGGGACCTCTCTCATAGTTCTGTTTGACTCCTTGCTAATCTGTTGACCAGATAGCATCAATTTATTTCATTTACCTCCAGCTTGCCAAAAAAAAAAAAAAAAAAAACAGAACCCAGCCACAGTCATCTATGCATGTCACCAGATATTTTTAAATAAATTATCAAAATGATTCAAATGGGTGTGATTATATTGTGTTCTTTTGACAATTCAAATATGCAGAATTTTAAAATATTGTGTGCACCAATTTTAAATCATTTGGCTCTGAATTCCACCCAAGTAGAGATGTGAAATGTGAAGACTATGGATAGATTCCAGCTAAACAACCTGCTGGTCACTATGTCCCCCCCCATGGTTGATTTTTTTCTGTGGGTCCGTGCTTCCTGATATGGGATATCAGCTATACCAGAACAAGTACATTTACACCAGTATAACTGTCCACACAGAGGTAGGGGATGGTACAACTTGTACCACCTCTGTGTCTAGGTCAAGACACAATTATACCTGAATGCTTATCTATAACCTTCAGTTTCCTCCATTCATTATGTGCAAGTGGCTGGCCTTGAACGAACATGAATGACAACAGCTAAGCTTTTCCACCAACTCCCGCTCTCTCTAATCCCTATGTATATGAAAGTAAGCGGTCATTTAAAATTGTGGCAGCATGCTTTTCCTTTGTTTCAGTGACAGCAACTCATGCATTAGATGGAATGGGAGAGGGGAGACAGTTTTTAGGTTTTTGTTTGAGTACTAGTTTCTCAAGGTTATAATAGAAGCTATTTAGTATTTGAACCTTGCATTATGATTTGATTAAATCTGCAGCGTGTATGGAGACAACGAAACTTCAGAGTCATTTTTAGAATCTCTATCAGCTCAAATAGCAACTGTATAACTTACTTCAAATTTACAGTAAATTTTTTTATCCTGAACCATATTAAACTCCTCAAAGTAAATTTAAGTATTCAATTTAGAATGTTACAGGAATGGCAAAAACAACTTACTGCAAACTCCTATGGAAAGACTCATTTTAAATATTTCTGTTAGTCTCTAATGTGCCACAGGACTACTCATTTTTAAAGTTACTGACAAACACAGCTACCCCTCTGAGATTTTAAGTGATACCTGTGCATTCACAATAGCCACTGAATATCACTAGAGGGCAGTAAAGGACTTTGGCTGTGACAATATCAGATCTCAGAGAATAGTGATAGAAATGTAGCCGTGTTAGTCTGGGGTAGCTGAAGCAAAATGCAGGACAATGTAGCACTTTAAAGACTAACAAGATGGTTTATTAGATGATGAGCTTTCGTGGGCCAGACCCACTTCCTCAGATCAAATAGTGGAAGAAAATAGTCACAACCATATATACCAAAGGATACAATTAAAAAAAAGAACAAATATGAAAAGGACAAATCACATTGCAGAACAGAAGGGAGATGCGGGGTGGGGGAGGGGGAGGAAGGAAGGTAAGTGTCTGTGAATTGATGATATTAGAGGTAGGGAGAGTGGGATGTTTGTGAGTTAATGGTATTAGAGGTGATAATTGGGGAAACTATCTTGGTAATGGGTGAGATAACAAACATTTGAACTAAGTCCTTGTTGGAAAGTGTCGAATTTTAACATGAATGACAGTTCAGAGGATTCCCTTTCAAGTGCAGATGTAAAAGGTCTTTGTAGCAGAATGCAGGTGGCTAAGTCATTTAGAGAGTGTCCTTTCTGGTTAAAGTGGCAAGAAACTGTTTTCTCTTTGTGATCTTGTCTGATATCTGTTTTGTGGGCATTAATCCTTTGGCGAAGTGTCTGAGATGTTTGTCCAATGTACATAGCAGACGGACACTTTCGGCACATGATAGCGTAGATTATATTTCTGGATGCGCAGGAATATGTGTTCTTGATCTTATAACTCACTTGGTTAGGTCCAATAATGGTATCAGCAGAATGAATATGTGGACAAAGCTGGCAACGGGGTTTGTTGCAAGGGAAGGTACCAGGGTTGGTATTAGTGTGGTATGTCCTGTGGTGGTTGGTAAGAATCATCTTGAGGTTAGGTGGTTGTCTATAGGAGACTATGGGTCTGTCTCCCAGAGCCTCTTTGAGTATGGTATCCTGTTCCAATATAGGCTGTAGTTTATTGATAATGTGTTGGACAGGTTTAAGTTGGGGGTTGTAGGTGATGACAAGTGGTGTTCTATTGTTGGTTTTCTTGGGTCTGTCTTGAAGTAGATGGTTTCTAGGTATTCGTCTGGCTCTTTCAATTTGCTTTTTTGTTTCTCTGGGTGGGTAGTTGAGATTTATAAATGCTTGGTAGAGATCCTGAAGCTTCTGGTCTCTGTCAGTGGGGTTAGAGCAGATGCGGTTGTATCGAAGGGCTTGGCTATAGACGATGGATCGTGTGGTGTGTTCTGGATGGGAGCTGGATGCATGTAGGTAACTGTATGAGTCAGTGGGTTTTCTGTAGAGAGTGGTGTCTAATTTTCCATTGTTGATTTGTACGGTGGTGTCCAGGAAGTGGATCTCTCGTGTAGAATGGTCCAGGCTGAGGTTGATGGTGGGGTGTAGGTTGTTGAAATCTCTGTGGAATATCTCCAGTGTTTCTTGGCCATGTGTCCAGATCATAAAGATGTCATCGATGTACCGTAGGTAGAGGAGGGGTGAAAGGGGACGGGAGTTGAGGAAACGTTGTTCTAGGTCAGCCATAAAGATGTTAGCATACTGTGGGGCCATGCGTGTACCCATGGCTGTGCCGCTGATCTGGAGGTATAAGTTGTTCTCAAACCGGAAATAATTGTGGGTGAGAACAAAGTTACATAGGTCTGCTATCAGGTTGGCAGTAGTGTCCTCTGGGATAGTGTTTCTAATTGCTTGTAATCCGTCTTCATGTGGGATGTTGGTATATAGAGCTTCTACATCCATGGTGGCAAGGATGGTATTATTGGGGAGGTTATCGATGTTTTGTAGTTTCCTTAGGAAGTCAGTAGTGTCTCGGAGATAGCTGGGGGTATTGGTTACGAAGGGTTTGAGAAGAGTGTCTACATAGCTGGATAGACCAGTAGTGAGCGTGCCAATACCAGAGATGATGGGACGTCCGGGGTGCCCAGGTTTATGGATCTTGGGAAGTAGATAGAACAATCCTGGTCGGGGGTCAGAAGGTGATTCTGTGAGGATTTGTTCCCGAGTAGCTGTGGGGAGGCTTTTAAGGAGACAGTGTAGTTTCTTTTGGTAGTCCAAGGTGGGATCAGAGGGGAGAGGTTTGTAAAATGTGGTGTTCGAGAGTTGTCTGGTTGCCTCCTGGTTATAGTCGGCCTTATTCATAATGACCACAGCACCCCCTTTGTCAGCTGGTTTGATTACAATGTCCAGGTTGTTTTTGAGACTCTGGATGGCATGGTGTTCAGCGCGGCTAAGATTGTGTGTCGCTTGTTGTCGTTTGCGAATAATGTCAGTCTGTGCGTTGTTGCGGAAGCTGTGTATATAGAAATCCAGATTGTAATTCCGACCGTCAGGGGGAGTCCATATAGAATTATTTTTCCTTTGGTGTTGGTAGGGGGGATCTGGTAGGTCAGATTGATGTTCAGTGGTGGTTTGGAAATATTCTCGGAGACGGAGGCGGCGAAAAAAAGCCTCAAGGTCACCACAAAATTGTATCCAGTTTGTGGGGGACGTGGGGCAGAAAGAGAGACCCCGGGACAAGACAGACTCTTCTGCTGGATTGAGTTTGTAGCTGGAGAGGTTAACAATATTATCCGGTGGGTTGAGGCAGTTGCTGTTGTAGCCAGTGGTATGGAGCAGGTTAGAAAATTTATTGTCCAGAGAGTAAAGTATGATTGGACTGGAACAAGTCAATACTGAGATGGAAAGCTGCCAAGAAAAATCCTGGTGCTGCAGGAAATGATGCTAGCAATACTGGACCAACACTCAGCAAAGTGATGGAAATAGTTATGTTTTTGTAAAAGACAACAGAGGGTCTTGTCACCAATAATTTAAAAAACTCTGATCTTATCCTTCTAAAGTAGGGTGTTAATCCTGGCAACAATGACTGAATGGACCCACCATAGTTTCAAACAGTTGTTGGAGAATGGTGGCTGCAAGTTCTGGGTCTGCTTTAAACAACTCCGCGTCCAGGTTGTCAGGTCCTGGAGCTTTGCCATTTTTCAGAGATCTGATGGACCCAGTACAGTGTCCACATCAAGCTTAAGCTGTACCAGAGCTGTGTCATATCAACATTACTATACAGCTCAGAGTGCTGGTGGATGACAGAACATGACTGTGCCAAGCTCTCATCCTTTCACACCACCAGCCTTCGTAAGATACTTTTCATCTTTTGGCCGAAAACAATCTCCAACCACAACCTGCTCCTGCAATGCCACCAGGAGGACATGACCACTATTATTATAAGATGCTAGAGATGGATAGGGCACGTGATGAGCAGGGAGGCAGATGCCATCCTAAAGATAGCACTTTACTGGACGCCTGAAGGATGACGGAAACATGGGAGGACCAAGACAACATGGCAGCGTACTGTTGAGGCAGATATGAAGAGAATGAACTACAACTGGGACACACTGGAGAAAATGGCCAAAGACAAACAAAAATGGAGAACCTTCATTGCTGCCTTACATGTCAGCGGGCGTAATAGGCATTAACTAACTAAGTATGGTTGCAGTTAA